GTTGCTGCTGTGAAACGGGAATTTCAGTAGCCAGGACAAGGGATCTTCTAGCACAGCCCATCACGATTCAGTTTCCCCCCTTTGCACCCACTCTGCCCAGCTCCTCCCACACTGGCCCAGGACTCTGCAAGGAGCAGCCAACACACAGTGTGCACCAAGATTTGGTGGGAGCCGTCAGAACCAGTCTCTTTATGATTCTTGGGTGCAACTTGCCAAACAGCCTGCAGTCCTCCACCCCAGAGCTGGCTGCATTTTAGCTTTCAGAAGTGATGAAGCGATTTGGAACAAAAGGCTGCCGAAATGCCACTCAAGGGCCTCTAGCTTTGGGGCTCTCAGTTCTTGGGTACCCTGATTTAAGACACACCAGTTACATCTACATTGCACACTATGCCTGGATCTGGGGGACCTTGGCATTTCCAATTTTGTGGCCAAGCATCCACACTGCACTGCAAACCTGGGCTGGCATTTGCTGGGCCTGGGTCTCTCAGCCATCCTAACACACCCACATTGCACCACACAGACCTTCTGACTGGGTCTGTGACTTCAGCTGCATCCACACAGCAGAAGAGCACAGCTTGGACGCCAGTCACAGGCTCCCCACCCCAGCAGGGTCCTGGACCCGTGTCCTGAGTGCGTGCTGATCCAAGTCAGTCTGGGCTTAGTGTGCAGTGTAGACATACCCCAATGGCACAGCCCAGCTGCCTTTCGCACACATCCCCAATGAAAGGGGAGGAGGGGGAATGTCGCTCAAATGTTCCATGTTGAGTCTTCAGCCTTCCCCTGGCACGTGACTGCCTGTTTATCCCAGAAGGTTACAGGGTTTCTATTTGAAACATCTGTTTACATTCCACATTCTTCCCCCCGCTTTAAAACCCTTTATTAGCAGCAGTGGCATGGCCGGCGATGCTGCTGGAGCGCCCTCGGAGATGCCAAGCCAGTGAGATGGCCGGAGCAGCTCTGCATTCCCAGTCCTATCATTTTGCAGAGTGACTCATGGCTGGCAAATGGGTGACTCGCGCTCCCTTTAAATGTTTATACCAAAGGACCGGTGCACAAGCAGCAAGATGGGCAGGGAGCATTTCTAGCCCTCCACACACTCCGCCCAGCACGCCAGACGCACCACATCCCTCCATGCCCATGACCAGAAGGAGCCTGTCTAGGATACACTATGGAACTTCATAGCGTAGCAGCACTCAGGGCCTAACCATGCCCCGTTCGGCACCTCCCCACGTGTCACGCGCAGATCAGAGCTGAATCTGGAGCTGGCCGGCGGTGGGGCTGGGGGGAACCACCAAGGAGCCAGAGTGGCTGAACAGTTACAGGGCTGGGCAGAGGACACACAGCTCACTTCTGGAGGCAGCTTTGGGTCAGGCAGGGGAGCACAGACCTAGAATTAACCCCCAGCCGTGCCACGGCTTTGCTGTGTCTTTCTTGGCAAGTCACTTCCCCTCTTGCTGCAAATGGAGACCTAGGGACAGAAAGGGGCAGACTCTGTTTGCCAGGCTCTGTCTATGACGCAGCAGGAGTCACAGGGCAAACGCTGTTGTTGATGAATGGGGCGCGGGGGGGCAGTTAAACAACTTGCCCCAATTCCGTTGCCTATAGCCCCTGGCTGCTAATACTCTATTCAATAAAGCTCGGGGCAGATGCCAGCTGAGACCAAACCAGGGCCTTGGCGTCCCCCCGAGTTGGCTGCAAACCTGCATTGATAAGGGGCCCTAAGCCAAGTGAAGCTGTGACCGGGCCCGCTGCTCCCACTTGGCCTGTCCATTCCTCCACAGGCAGAGCCAAGCAACTGATGACCCTGTGCACCAGATCCCCCTGCCCAGAGCGAGGAACCAGGCCCAGTCTTGTGGGGTGCACCCCCACGAGCCCCCCGGCGTCCCCTCCCAGCAACCCCATTTCAGTCTTGTCTATACAGAAACAACATTATCTGGGGACCTTTCTGTGACTCACTCGCTTCCCCCTCCCCTGCCTTGAAATTCACTAAGCTACTCAGTGCCAAAGTCAGAGCCTTGCCCATGAGGGATTTCCAGGCGCACCAGAACGGTCTCGCTTTGACAGGGCCAGGATCATGCCCCAGCCTGTGCGGAGAGCAGCGCCGGCTGAAGCTGGCAAGAACTAAACACGTGGCCAGCTCTACTGCAGAGGACAATGCCCGGCTTCACAGGCCAGCTGGGACCACTCGGGGCCTTGCTCTGGCCTCTCACACCACACAAGGCCAGAGGCATTCCAGGCGCACCAGAACGGTCTCGCTTTGACAGGGCCAGGATCATGCCCCAGCCTGTGCGGAGAGCAGCGCCGGCTGAAGCTGGCAAGAACTAAACACGTGGCCAGCTCTACTGCAGAGGACAATGCCCGGCTTCACAGGCCAGCTGGGACCACTCGGGGCCTTGCTCTGGCCTCTCACACCACACAAGGCCAGAGGCACCCGCCCAGCAGGTCTGGCCGGCATCACAGCCCTTGCTTCCCATGGACCCAGAGCAACCGCGCGGAGTCAGAGCACACCCTGGCTGCTCTACAACGGAGGGGAGCCCAGCACCCAACACCTGCCACTCACAAGCAAAAGCTCCCCAAGCCAGGAGTTCCGCCAGCTGCAAACCCCACAGGATTAGGTAGCGCTGACAACGCCCCCACTTCAGCCAAGGGGCAGCCAGCCCAGCCCGCACATTCTCGCCTGCTTCCCCGTGTTTCACACCCTCACTCGTCCGGGGGCACCCCCACGCTTCGCATAGGATCACAGAGCCCTCAGGAGTCATGGAGTCCAGCCCCTGCCCAAGGCAGGACCACCCCAACTCATCATCCCAGCCAGGGTTTTGTCAAGCCAGGACTTAAACACCCCTAGGGATGGAGACTCCCCCCCCCCAGGGAACCCAGCCCGGTGCTTCCCCACCCACCTAGGGTAATATCCAACCTGGACCTCCCCCGCTGTAACTTGAGCCCATTGCTCCTTGTTCTGCCATCAGTCACTACTGAGAACAGCCTCTCTGGAACCTCCCTTCTGGAAGTTGAAGGCTGCTATCAAATCCCCCCTCATTCTTGAAGATGTTGAACAAATCCAGCCCAAGAACTCACCTTTGGGGCACTCCGCTAGAAACCGACCGCCAACCTGACATCGAGCCGTTGATCACTACCCGCTGGGCCCGACAACCTAGCCAGCTTTCTATCCATCTTACAGCCCATTTATCCAATCCATACTCCCTTAACTTGCTGGCAAGAATATCATGGGAGATCGTATCAAAAGCTTTGCAGAAGTCAAGGTACATCCCACCCACTGACATTCCCACGGCCACAGAGCCAGTTCCCTCATCATAGAAGCTAATCAGAATGGTCAGGCATGCCCGGCCATTGGTGAATCCATGTTGATTATTCCCAATCACTTTCCTCACAGACTGGTGCATCGACTGCCCTGGCCAGCACACAGCCTGTTGCACATGGTCCTGCCCAATCACAAGGCAAGGGGCATCTGCATTTGTCTCCTGTACCCCAATGTCCCTCTGCTGCCCCCGTTTCCTGTGAGCACCAGCTCCAAATTTGCATCCCGGGTGATGCGGGTGCCTGGACACTGCTTGTGATGAGGGGGCAGGGAAAGAAAGGCTCTGCTCAAGAGCAAGTTTGAGAGGGGGAGGGCAGGTGCAGGACAGTCGGGGGCAGCCTAGCTGCTCGGAGGCATCTCTCAGCCCGGGCAGGGAGAGAAGGGAGTCACCGCCATTAACATCTCCGGGGCAGACGTGGCCTCCCTGCTGCCAGGGGCCCATGCTGGAAACTGACAGGGCAAGCAATCCTCATTCTTCAAGCGCCACTGACGGGAACGGCGCTGGGACATTAGACAGCCAGAGCCCCTCCCCCACAGAGGCTGGGAGCGAAACGGACCCTTAACGAGGAACAACAGACCCCGAGGCATGAGCATGAGGGGTCGGAAGCCGGGCCACACTGAACCCTCTGTGCCCGCGGTGCATCAGCATCAGGGCACGAGTCGCTCCCACCAACAACCCCAACCCGACAAGACCCAGGCCCTCCATGGACACGCCGCGAAAGCTCATGCCTCCCCAGGCACAGGGGGATCCAGGCTGCTACGTCTCCAAGCCAACTCACTCTGCAGCTGCCAACCGTGCCAACTCAGAGCCCAAGCTGCAGCCGTGTGGCCGCCACCCCTCCCCCCAGATCCCACTGCAATCACTGGTGGCCTGGCCACACACTCCCCCAGGTGCACATCCGGCCCTGAGCGGCCGCAGGGCCCGGATCGCTGTTGAGGGGATAAGGACAGATGCTCTGTTGTACGTCAGGTGGAACCCAAGGAAGTGACACCAATCTACAGCAGCTGAGGGTCAGGCCCAGGCCGACACAGCAGCCGGGTAGCTCAGGGACTTGGCAGGGGCCGGATGACACGGGGCTCAGCCAAAACCAGCCCACACAGCCAGTCCTACTGACAGGGAACGGACAAGGCTGCCGGGTGGGAACACATGCTGGCAGGTAAAGTCAGCCCCATGTTCCCAGGCCTTTTTTCAGCTTCCGAGCACCTTAGCCCCAGAGCACGGATGAAGAGTTTGCGAAGAAAAGCCACATGGAATGATGAAACCCTGACCATCTGCCTGGCTCCATTAAGCGTAAACCCAATCCGGAGCAAGTCCCGCAGTGCCGGTCCACAGAGGCTCAGCACACATGGCAGGGTCATGCAGTAGAACTAGAATTCCAAGAGCTCAGTATCCAGAATCGGGGCCAGGTTGTCAAAAGTGCAGACAGCCATTTGGAAAATCTGCCCCAGAGCAATGGTGCTGAGCCCTGGAAAATCTGCCCCGGGGGCAATGGTGCTGAGCCCTGGAAAATCTGCCCCGGGGCAGTTTTATAGCCTGGCTCTACATTTACAATGTTATGGGCCCAATCCTAGGAGGTGCAGGATCGGGCCCCACCAATGCCAGAGGCATCTCCTACTTGTTTGCGGAAGCTCGGGGCAATCCACCACGTTGACAGGGCCATATTAGCAATCACACCGCACTCACCTGCCACGGGAAGGGCATGGATCTGAGTCCGCGACAGGAGCTCCAACGACTGCTCACGTCCGGATACTCCATCTGAAGAGAAACACGATTCACTCTCGTAAATAGTCTGCAACATCGCGGGCAGTCCCAGTGCCCTCGGCATGAGCAGCATGCCAGGAACAACTCAGACACCAGCGACTGCAGGGCCCGGCAAGCAATGCACGCTGGCTTCTGTCCCTCTTCCACCTTCTCCCTACAGTCTGGTGCAGGGCACGGGAGTGTTCCTTAGCAAAAGAGGGGAGGGGTCCGTGGTGCTGAATTTCAGCTGAAAACCATCAGACATCCCCCCCACAAAGAGCAAAAGGAGAGGAGGCCTCCAACCAAAAGTTACAGCATCCGACTCATCGATCAACATTCGATAGCAACCCCACAAAATTTGCTGGGCAAAAAAATATTCAAATCTTGCAAAAAAATTAAAAAGGTAACTGTTTATGCCAAGCGCAGACACCAAGAGCTCGGCTTGGAAAGAGCTCGCTGTTCCAGAGGGGGGTCCAGCCACTAGTCTCGAAAAAGAGGGTTTCACATCTCAGGCGCTGCCTGATTCACGACGGGAGGCAGCTCCCACCCCGGGAGAAATAGCAGAAATCAGGCGTTTGCAGAGGAACAGAGACGGAGCTGGCTCTGAGTCGATTGAGCTAAGATGTCCTGCAAAGCAGATGGGGGCCAGGTTTGCCCATGAAGCCTTTTGCTAATTGCGCCACCGACAATCCCCTTTATCTGATTGTTTTCTCTCCCATCCTTCCCACCAAGTGAGACAGCAACTGCCCGCGGTGACCTGAAATAGAACGCGAGGGGAGGAGCCAGCTAAAAATAGCCCAGGCATGCTCAGGGACTTGGGATTGTTCTACAACAGGGGCCTGCCTAGCAGAAGAGCCTTCACTGAAGGGTCAGTGGAAGCGGAGAGGCACTGCCAAACACAGCCAGGAGGGAGAGGGCAAGGAGAGAGTCTGAAATTGACTCGAGCCACAGAAGGCCTTTGGAGAAGGCTTGGAAAGAGCCTTTCCAACCTCAGGATAGCATTTGCTGCACCGACACCCTGGATCCCCACATCCCAACACTCAACTTTTACCCATCTTTCCTGCCCTCAGACCTTAACCTGCACCCTCCTGCTCTCAGACCCCAACATTCAACCCTGACACCCCTCCCCCAAGACTCCAGACTGGAGGAAATTAACCCAATCTACCACTTCCAAAACTAAACCCGTCCCAAGCAGCATTCTGAGCCCAAAGAGGGGGACCCAGAGGCCCCCAGAAATGCACCAGTGGCTTTGCTCTTGATTGGATCCAGAACATGCTCAGATACCACAGCGAGGGGCAGCAGGACAAGCCAGCAGCCAGGCACTCGCAGCCAGGACAGGCTAACACTAACACAGATGCCTGTGCATGTCAGCCCCCCAAAGAGCACCAGGAAGAGCTAAGGCAGAGCAGGGGAGCAGCTAGACCAAGGCCCTTGAATTGGGGGAGGGGTTTGGTGGGTCCCCTCAAAACAGTGCCCAGGCAGTTTGTCCCAAGCCATAATCTGATGAAAAGCAAATGACCCCTGACAACGGGCGGGACCTTGGGATTCAGCTGGGTGTCCAGGCCAGCAGTTGCTACATCCAACACCCCCCTGATCCGGCTGCAGGGGTAGGGCCAGGGGGTTGCCGCAGGTACACAGTGCTGCATTCACGCCTCGCTCCGCAGGGTGGCCACAGAGCCAAGCTGGCTTTGCCAGTGAGCGTCCCCAGCTGTGTGCTTCTTAGGGACGCACCTGGCACACAGAGGCCGCCCGGAGTTGCTGAGCATAGGAAGTTAAGGTGCTAGCTTGCCCCTCAGCGGGGGTAGATCTGAGGCTCCAGAGCATCCCCACTCCATGTGGAGCCCATCCCCCATTTAGCCACAGGGAGCATCCAGCAATCTGCTCAATGGATTAGCCAGCACCTGTCCTGCCTGCCTACGCCGAGACGAGGAGACTTGACCACTTCCCATGGCTTTACCCCAAGCACAGCCGCTGCACAGGCCTGGGTGAGTCCCAACCGACTGCTCCTTGGAGGAGCGGCTCTCTGCCTCCTCAGGGATAGGTACCCCAACCTGGCAGCGCAGGGTCAGATCTCAGGCATCGCCCCCAGCCCCTTCTCAACCCTCTCTCATGGCAGGCAGGGTTGGACCACAAGTTGGTGGTTCTTCCGCTGATGCCAGGGCTGTGGAGGGGCGCAGGACCAGGCCTGCATGGGATGCCACAAATGCTGCTCCCAAGACCCTATCCTGGAGCAGCCTCTTGCTTTTTTCTTTTCCTTGCTTTGCATGGAAGGCCAGCTCAGCTCAGTAACTCCAATACCAGCCTTGCAAAGTCTCCCTCCAAGAGCCCCTAATTGCCCGGGACGTTAATCCACGTCAGCGCAGCCAGAAATAAAAGTCCAGGTTTTGCCGGGAAAGGACTCTGGGGACTTAGGGGCCCAGTAAGAGCAAGCCAGGCAAGCAAGCACACAGCTCTCACAGTGAATCCGCTGGACTCCCACTAGACAATGAGCAAACCTGCTAGGGTGGCTTGAACCTAATCGGGTTCACCTTGCAAGCAGCCCTCTGGCTGCCTCTCGTTAGCAGGGAGTAGGTTAGCCATTGTATAAAGAGAGTGACTGATGGGAAATGTAGTTCCACCCCTTCATTCTCAGCATGCCTGAGCCACACAGACAAAACTAGTCTTGGGGTCAAAAATGCCCCGCTGATCCCAGGCTGAGGAACCGCAGCAAAACACTGCCAAGTTGGGGGTGGGGCTCAGTAACACCTCTTCTCCTGGGACCAGAGAGTCAATTTTCTGCTGGAGCAAATTCGCCCAGCTCCACTGATTCTTGTGGAGTGGCACCAGTTTGCTGCAGTCCCGAGTTTGGTCTAGTCATGAGGACAGAGTAGTCGTAGGAGCGGTGATGCCATACCAGGCTTGCAGAATAGCCGCAGCGGCAGCGTGTGTACAGTGGTTAGCACGGACCCCTGCAAGGCCAATGCGGGTGTTCTTGCGGCATTCCCTGCAGCATGTGCCCATGAAGCTAGCTGGAGACTGGGCCGAGGGTCAGGGGAGGCATTCCCCTCTGGTTCACCTCTCTGAATCCACGCCCACGTTGGCAGTAACCAAAAGTTGTTCCCATATGTTGGCTGATGACATGCATGAAATTAACCGAGGACCTTAGTGTTCAGGTATCAGGAAAGCCAAAGACATTCCCCAGGACAGTGACTTTGTGGGATAGAAAGACTTAACTGTCCCCCTCCATTCGCTGGGGTCCCCTCCCAGGCAGGCATGCTGCCGGGAGAAGCTGGTTGTGCCCAACGCACCCATCCTGGGGATGGAGCCTGTAGGGAGTGGTCAGCGCAGCGCAATGCTGACTCAAGGCACTGAGCGCACTGACACCAGCCTCAAAAGGCTGCGATCTGGTCTGTGCAGCTCCTGTGCAGCTCCACGACAGGGGTTCTAGTGCAGTGCCAGGACCCTGCTAGCAGAGCTCTGGGTGAAGAGCTAGGCTGCATCCGTCAAACTAGAGCAGTGTTTCTCAACCAGTGGTATGCGTGCCCTGAGGGGTACTCGAGAGAAGGCTGAGGGGCATGCCAACAACTGAAATTTGGCAAAAACTTAATTTTTGTTTGAAGTTTTATAGCGCTTTATTATTTTTTACACCCAAAAATTTCATCACCTGCCCAGCTACGGTTAAGTTGTTTAAACAAATGTGTTGCAACAGTAGAAAAAACATGTGTGTGTCTGAAAACTGTAGGCACGGGGGTACTTTTTGGCTATGTCTACATTCGCGGCTTCTTGCACCAGAAATCTGCAAATTCTTTTCAGGAACAACGACATTGCGTAAGAGGGGTTTACTTGCACAAGAAGGGACAGTGTAGATGAAGCTGTAGCGCCAGAAGGCGCTATCTACACTGTCTCTTCTTGTGCAAGAAAACCCCTCTTACACAATGTCGTTGTTCCTGAAAATAATTTGCATATTTCTGGTGAAAGAAGCCGCGAATGTAGACACAGCTTTTTTTTTTTTTTTTTTTTTTTTAAAAGGGGGTACTTTATAAAAAACCATTGGGAAACGTTGATATAGACAAACCACCACCTGCAATACCCACTAACATCACATGCACCCCCCACCCTCATGTTTACTGCCCCAAGTAACTGGCTAGACAGCAGATCCAGCCTGCAGGGAAACAGAGCCAGAGATCGCCTTTCAGGGCCCTCTGTCCCGCATGCTTCCAGGGTTGCTCAATCTCTTCGTTTTGTCCTGCCTCGCGGCAGTGTTTAAATTTCTGACCCAGCGCAGAAAAGGGGACGCTGGTTTATTTATCAGCATGTTAATCCAACCCTAGACTTTTAATAGCAGGGCTATTTATGGGCTGGGCTGGGCCCCCCCCTGCAGTGCACTTTTGGAGTTGACGTCAGAAAAGCTATTTCTGCAGCTGCGAGAAACCACAGGATATTCTCCCCCCTCCCCTTGGCGCAGCTGACCCCTCGGATCACATCGAGGTCCAGTGTTGCAATACAATCAGCAAGCTGGGTGCTCGGGACGGGCCGGCCCACCGGCTCTGGGGGAAGGGGGCGCCTTGCCCTCACTGCCACCATTTCAATCTTTGGCAGGCTTCCCACCAGACACTCAGTGCAGGGGAGGCGCAGTCCGAGGGACGCCCGGGCGCCCTCCTACACTAGGGGAGGGGGACAGAGTGCAGATCACAGCCAGCGGACTGGGTGTAACTGATGCATGCAGCTTGGGGCCAGCTGCATTCCAGGAACTCCGTGCAACTCAATGGAACTCAGGGGCAGGTCCGAGCCTCCAGGCAGGGCAGGGCTCAGCTCTCGCCACCCCATGTGCTCTGTGGCAGAGAGCCTCACAGGAGGAGGTCAACGCCCTCAGCCCAGCAAGCCCCAGGGAACAAGGTAGGCTGGCCTTTTAAGGGGTGGCTGTCTCCCAGGCGATGGGCTGAGGTTGGGGATCCACATCTGCTGCTGACCGTATTGTCTCAGGATCTAGCTGGAAGTAAGTGCCCTCCTGGTCCGTGGATTTTAAAAGCTGCCTACTAGGATTCGGGCACAGCCATGAATGGGTTAAAATAGGCCCCACCCACTTCACATAGAAGCCACCGGGTTACCAGAGGCTCCAAACACTAGCTCCTGGGAGCTGGCGACTTGGGGGCTCTGACTCATTCCCACAGCCCTGTATGCTCCTCCCACTTACACCCCAGGTCGCCAAATCTTTTCCCGTCTGGCCCCATCCCATCCTAACCAATTCTTCTGGCACGCCCAATACGCACTGCCCAGCTTGTTCTCCAGGCAACGTGGTGCCCTGTGGAACTCATTACCACTGGACACTACTGCAGCCAACCTGAGTAAGGCCGCAAAAGGGATATGGGAGGCCCATGCAGGAAGACGGGAATAGCCAGAGACATCACCATCAATATCCAACTCCCCTGCCAAGTTTGGGAAAGCGCTGCCTCACTCCTGCTTCATGCCATGAGGCGCAGGGGTCAGAAGGGAAAATTCCCCGCAGGCAGGTCTGGCTCCTGCAGAGCACTTCCCTCTATGCCGGTGGCACTGCTGTTGAAGCTGACCCACAGGGCTGGATGAGAACTCCCAGGAGCTCGGAAACAGAGCCAGGGCCGTAATGCAATGAGCCAAGAGCAGAGCGCCCACTGGGTAAGGCTTGGGGTTCCCACTGCAGGGGGGCTAGAGAACTAGCCCCACACTGGTCCCATTTGTGGCAGGGAGAGGCAGCTTTCCAGACAAGAGGGATTTGCCTGAGAG